TACATTCCTTTAGAAATTATATTTTTCTTTTGTGTGTGAAAGGATGTTTTGAATTTTATTTTTATGTATTCATATTGTTCAAATTTTCATTTAAATCTTATATTTAAATGAAAATCTCAGAGGGGCGCTGTATAGTTAGTTACAAGAATGAAAAATTTATCTTAGTGAAAACTTAACTTTAAATAGAAAATGAGATATCTGTTATAAGACCATAGATATTGATTAGAGATCCAAAGATTAAAAAATAAATTCCTTGTAAAATTATTTAAATAAAAATTTAAAATCCATTTGTCTAAATTAAATCATTCATAGATATTTTTCTTCTTCGAAATTATACACAAATGGTTCTTGTTTATTTTTTATTAAGGTTTTCTAATGTTTTGATAAATTACACACAACAAAGACATTAAGGGGGGGGGGAAATCCCAAGCTTCAAAAATCTCAGAAGGAAAAAAACTGAAATTTGAATATAATTAGTAAAATTTATTCAATGAAATTTAAAGTTTTCATAATTGTAGTCTGTGGTAATTAAATGAGAGTATATTAAAATCGCATTATGAAGCAATTCTAAGACTATTGGTGACGGACCTCTTAATTTTGAACCTTGAACTAGCTACGAACACGACACTTGAACTGGCACATCCCTCTCCAAACTACCCCACCTCACCAATGGGAGGACACTGAGCCTCTACAGATTTTACGTGCATCGATCCCCCCTATACAGAAGGTCTTCAGTGGCACTAGGGTTCGAACTCATGGCATGCCAGCCACGAGCCCATGATCACTAGACTACCACGGTCATAATTGTAGTCTATGACAGAATTTTATAAATTATAATACATATTTAATAAACTCAAATTAGTATTAACAAGTAATATAAAAAAAAATTTTAAGTCAATTCCTACTTAGATCAACAAAGAGAAAATTTTTATTTTAGTTATTTTTTATTAAATAGTTACAATTAATACAAATATGTATATACATATGACCAGTAGCGCACACAAGAATTTTTCAGGGGGAGGGAGGGTCCAAGGTCGAAAGTTCACTGTTCTCGTGCCATGCTCCAATACACCGCCCAACATATTCTTTTAATTTTGTCTATTTTCGGGAACAAAAAACTGTAAAAAATTAATTAATGAATGAATATATAGCGTTAATTAATAAAATTAACTATAAAAAACAAACAATTAATCTTTACGTAGTATATACATAGAATTATAATCAATCGAAAAAAAATCAAGGGCTTTTGTGTGGGGGGGGGGTTCGGACCCCCAGGACTCTCCCCATGTGTACGCCACTGCATATGGCAGAATCACAATATTACGTGACAAAATAGAAAGCGATTTTCTTTGCAATTTTCCGTTTTTCTTTCTATCTATGGTGTAGGGCTATTTTTTTTCTTGCTTGTTTCCATTTATTCATTATAATTAAATTTAACTATTGAAATAAAATAGTATATAGTAAAAAAGAAATCACATTCTCAGAAATTAGGCAACCCCAAGTGGGATTCGAACCCATGACCTTTGGATTAGAAGTCCAACGCGCTACCCATTGCGCTACAGGGACACAACGAACAATTTTCCTTTCTATATATGCTGTTGGACAAAACATTTTTGTTACTATTTATTCATTTTTTAATTTAATTAATAAATTAATATTTGAAAAAACTGTACTAACCTCAAGTGTCATCCATTACAAGTTCTAAAAAAATGTATTTGAACCTGAATGTGTGAATGAATAGAAAGTATTTTATTAACGATTAAAAATTTGAACGAGATATGTATAGGAAGAGAGTGAACTAATACTAGAAATTTAATAAATATGTATAATAACAAAACCACCAAAAGAGTGGAAATTAATACATTTTTTTTTTTGTTGGTACCTATTTAGTCAATTTAAAATTCCTCATTTCACAACACATTTATTTCTTTTACAAATCAAAATATATTATCAGAGCGCTAAGCTGATAACTGTGAGAAAACATTAGATCCCATAAATCAACTGCGAAGAGAAGAAAATCTCCCATTTAAAATCCCATCCCATTCGTTTTCCTTTTTAATCCCCCACCAAAGAGGGAAGCAGCATAATTAAACTCGAATCTTCCTCTTTATTATTACACTTTCCCCAAAAGTGATCGCATTTCTTTTTGCGCCCTACCTTTTTCTTTTTGTATACACACACTCTTTCTCTCTTTCTCTTAATACCGAATAAATTGCGCGTTAAAAAGTCTCACTCTTGCTATTAAACAATAACATCACAAATATCCTAGACCATTTTTCCCCGCAATGTCGGGAGGAAAGGGATTCGGCAGGGTGAAAAGGGGGATTCTGAGACGCATGGAGCAAACGATAGAGCGCGCTCCGGCGGGCACCTAATGAAATGGGTATTTACTGATCACTTTTCCAATTGGCTGCCATTGGGGTGATAATGGCTGCCCTTTAAAGTCATTTTCTGCTCGGGTAGTGCCCGGGTCTGAAATTAAAATCGAATCACGGCGTCTCTCTGTTGACGCAAGGGGAGCTCTGTCGGCGCCCGAGGCGGGTTTTCGGCCTTTATTGAAAGCGATGGCGAGAAGGGACGAGCGCCAAATGGAGCCACATCCAATCCCGTGTTGTTTGGAAGCAGGGGCTTTAGTGGAAGAGACGGGCAGTAGTCTCGTAAATGTGTCGCCCCCTCGGCGAATGGGAAAAAGAAACAAGGGCGCCGGAGTGTATTTTCGAAATGGCTATCGAGAGAAAGGAGAGCGATGTACTTTGGAACGAAGGCTGTTATTTTGTTGTTAGATGAAACAGTCATTATTTATAGTTTTATTTATTTATTTTTTATTTGCTCTTTATTTTTGTGGATTATAAAAGACTAAATAAAAGTACACCCTTTTTGGTGTTATAAATTGATCGCTTTAAATATCAGAGAGATGTTCGATGTAATTTTGGTGATTTGGTGGAAGAAATTCTATGTCTTAACTCTTTTTTTTTTCAACTTGTTTTTTTGGTGGTGAAAGATGTTTGCTGAATCTATTAGCAATGGAAAAAAACATTACTTCCCCCCCCCTCCTCCCACTTTTTTTTAAAAAAAAACCTGCCAAAAAGTTTATAAAATATAGAATTATTCAAAGTTTTAATTTTAATTTGGGTTTTTTATCCACATTGTGTGTGCATGTGTGTGTGCGTAGATAAGAGCCGAATATTACAATCTTGCATGCACATTGAGTTTTATTATCTTTCTTTTCGAAAAGCTGATTCGAAAAAATTATATATATATATATATATTTATCAGTTAAAATATATTTGTTTTTCCAACAAAAAATAATAATAATAAATGTATTTATTTCGAAAAATTATTAAAATTTTTCTTTTGTGTAATATATTTGGAGGCAAGGTAGAATAGCACCCAGCATTGTAATTATTACACATGGACTCTTTTTCCTTTGCTATCTTTTTTAGCACAGCACAGCATATTGTAGAAGCTTCTCTTTCTGATATTGGCATAAAAACTGGGAAGACGTTACGTTAGTCGTAGAGTTCCAAAAGATTTTGGTCGACCCAATGTTTAAAATTTGTATCTCCATGATAACTTTTATATAAGTTTTTCTACTAATTTGCTTCAGAAATCTAAATTTTTTTCACCTTATTTTTTTTTATGAAACATGTGTTCCAAATCCTGATGTCTAACAAATGAAATAATACTTTTTTATAACATTTATTTAAATTTAAGAAATCACGAAGACTGCTCGCATTTAGTCACCCGAGTGCGAACGGCAGTCGCTTATATTCTTGTGTGAAAATTACAGCAGCATAAAATACGACTCCACACGAATTATTTCGTTCATGCATAATTTGGCCAGTTTAGCTGGATCGAATTAACTCGATCGTGCACTTTAAGGGGTTAAGCAGTGACAAAGATTTTTAATTTATTTATTTTTCAGTTTTAGTTTATGTACTCGAAAGGAACACTTATATGGACATGCTGCTACAATTATAAACCGTCTTATTTCAGAATTCCTGCTATTAGTTCACCCTCTCCCTATATATATATATATATATATATATATAATTTTCATTCGTTGTAAAATAATTTCGATTCCTCCATTCAAGTGTTCACAGACACATTCTTTTAGACTTGTAGTGGATGACACTTGAAATGTTAATACATTTTTTTCAAATATGAAGGGCCACAGTACGATTCAATTGACAAAAATTGGTCAAAAAATCAAATTTAATTTTTTTTAGCCATAAGTATTTTTTGAATACTTTTCTATAACCTCACAAAATTTGAAAGCTTTAAACTTAACTGAATACAGAATTATGATAGTTTTTGCATTCGTTTTTTATTCACTTCCCAATGACAGATCAAAACTTTAAACTTACTTATCGTGGAGAAAGATAAAATAACTAGTTTGTCTTCATTTAAAATGCTAAGGCTTTTTTTTTCTATTGTGCCTAATGATTTGATTTGATTTTTTTTTTTTTTTTTTTTTTTGCCTATTGCTAATAGTACGTATAACAAAAGTTGGTATGTGTGCATTTTTGAATCAAAACAATACTTATTTTTTAAAAAATAATTGAACCCAGAATTTGTACATTTTTTAAGGAATTTTCAATGAGCATTCTTAAAAAGAAGTATTGTACAAATACCAATCATGTTATCGCAAAACCCATACCAATTTTTGTTAAACATAGTTAGACGAACTTGTAAATCAAATGTTATGCATGTACGTAAATTTTTGTAGGAGGAGTAGCATTTTAAAATCACTTCACATTTTTTTTCCTTAAAAAAATTAAATGGCTAGCTTTTTTTAAAAATTTTGGGCACAAAATCTGTTTTACATACTATACACACATAGGATGAAACCAAAAAAATTGTGAAAATCCTTAAATTAAATATTTTTGCTTAAATCGTACCATGATCTTTTAATTCAATAATTCAATTTAAAAATGGATAAATTGTTACAAAAATAATAGTCCAACAGCATATATAGAAAGAAAAACAGTTCGCACTATGTACCTGTAGCGCATCGGATAGGGCGTTGGACTTCTAATCCAAAGGTCGTGGGTTCGAATCCCACCTGGGATAGCCATATTTCAGAGAATGGGATTTTTTTTACTATACTATTTTATTAGAACAATTGAATTTAATTAATGAATAAATAGCAAACAAAAAATAGTCCAACACCATATATAGAATGGAAAATGAAAAATTAGAAGGAAAATCACTTTCTTTTTTCCCACTTAATATTGTGATTCTGTCATATGTATATACATATTTATATTAATTGCAAATATTTAATAAAAAGTAACAAAAATAAAGTTTTTATTTATTGACCTAAGTCGGAATTGACCTAATTTTTTTATATTACTTATTATTAATATTACATCATAAAAATAACTTAAAACTAAAGCTGTTTATTGGAGTTCTTTAAAAAAGAAAAGCATGTTTGTATAATATTAGGTCGTGCTGCGTATGAAAAGTCGGATTTTTAAGTGAATTATATGAAACTCCGTATCTTTATTCAAAAACTATTTATATACCAGAATATGCTCCATTTACTTCAACACATCTTTTCTAACCAGATTGTAACACATAGATGCTGACTAAAAGAAACATTAAACTGTTATAAACGTTTAAAAATGACAGTCGATTGGTGAAAGATCAGGTGAAAATTAGGTGCGCTGTAAACAGGAGTGGCTCTAGGTCCGGACAACCCGAACTCTGCCTGGGGTATCAAATTCTAGGGGATCGCATTTGGATTGAATTTAAAATATATATATATATTTTGCTACAAAAAATTTGATATATTTTCGGAAATACTATTGGGTGTAATTTTTGTATATTTTTTGTATAAAACATTATATAATGTAATTACACACTAAGATATACATAAACTGAAATCTATTTATTAAGTGTTGTAATTTTGGGTTCATTTCTAAAATCTTGTTAATCACGGCATATGCAAGATTTAAAAATCAATGGGAAGAATGTGTGCTTTGTTATTTTTAATTTTGTTATTAAATCTTGGAATATTTGTCGACATTGCCGGATGAAGTACTTCCTCAATATTCTTTAGATTTAAAGGATACTTTTATTTTTATGCTTGTTAAAGAAGAAAATGTCGTCTCACACAAATAAATAAGCTGTAGAAAAATGTAAAAAATACTGTATTGCAGTTGCAGAAATTGTTGGAAATTCTTTTGCAACTTCCAGCCAAAAATCTTCTAAGGACTCCATGTTAAAATTAATTTGTAATTCCGAATCTGTTGATAACACAACAAGGAAACGGGAATTTTTAACACGCTTTTATTAGCTTCACCTGTATTTAACGGAATGTTTTAACTCGATTTTTACCCACTTTAAAAGGTCAAATTAATTGGAAATTTTGCACACTTGTCAAGGACCGAAGACAATAGAATAATTTATTAATTTTGCTCCAATCTCCTGACCAGGGTCATCAGGATTAACGATTTCCCATTTCCAGATTTGACGACTAATTTCAGATTTGGTGACTAAAATATTAAGTTACAACCCTGAAGCAAAAACGCTCATTGTACAAATACAACAAACAAAAAAAATCTACAATAAAAGCGTGTTTTTTTTTAGTTTTTGGAACTATCATTTTTATTGATGCTAATGAAGGTATGACTGCTGCACTATGTCTAACTGATTTATACAATGTAAATGATCGGTGGGGTTACTCGATCACGTGATGGATAACTAAAGGGTTGGGAGGCTGGTACTCAGTCACACCAGATACGATGGATTTCTCCAATAAGAATCTAAATAAACAATTACATAATTATAAATGGCGAAGAAGTTTTTTTTATACAAAATGATACATCAAAATTTCTAAAATTTTTGGCAGCCCCAACTGCAAGTCACGTGACCCCTAGTTTAAGAAACACTAAGTTAGAACATTAATCTAAGCTGAGCCATATAATACGAGTTTTAAAATTCTTATCTCATCAGCCACTTTGTACTTTCTTGACTGTAATTATTCAAGACCAGTAGTAAACTAAGTGCAAGGTAAGGACTTCTGATTGTTTACATGCAGGATTTATGGTTTGCATATTGGCCACTTAAAAGCTTTTTTTTTATTTTGTAATTTTTTATTTCGAGATACAATAGTGTTAACTTTTCTGTTTGCGAATTTCATAGAAAAGACACTGATTATTTTATTTATTTCTAATATGTATTTGTCTTTGTATAATATCTTGAGCAAGTTACGTTGTGTACCACAATAAATGTATTCCACAATTTCATTTTAAGTCTATTATAAAATTCCTTCACAGTTATATCAACCTTTGGAGAGAAATCTCTCTCTTATAATCTGTGTTATTCTATTTATATTAATGGAATAAAGTTTTTCCAAAAACTAAATACAGAGAACGTAATACTTTCCAGAATCTAAAGAGCTATTCCACAAAAACTTTCCTGATTATTACTTGTTTTTTCTCATGAAGTGTAAATCATTTATATAAACACAGCATGTCTGTATTTCAAACTACTTCTTAACGATATAAAATATCCAAGAAAGAACATATACATAGATTTTCTTCCTCGAAGAACTCACAAATTTCAACCTTAATTGACTATGGCCGAAATCAGAAATTATAATTTAATTCTAATTAATCAGTTATAAACCCTCTTGTAATTCGTCTCGGATCAAAGTAAAATTTGTGAAAAAAAATAAAGCTTTTTCGTATCATTCCATTAGTATACAGGGAATAAATGACCCGATTACAAAATTTAATAACTCCCAGTCGAATAAAGAGAAGATGATAATTAATATGACATTGTAAAGAAAAAACATGAAATTTTGAGTTTGTAACATTGTTTTTGTCCAATGAGGCGAAGCAATGTTGTAATCAAGATGTTTTTGAATTTGTAAACAGAAGTGTGTGTGTGGAAATAGCCTCGTAGAGAGAGAAGGCGCTTTGAGTGCCCTCGTTCGCAAAGTCTGTCAGTAATCACGGTTTAGCGTGAATTTTGAAGAAAGTACCATAGAAAAATGCACTGTATCTGAGAGTATAAGAAGATGGTATAAACTTTTCCAGGAAACTGGATACCTGTGTTAAGGTAGAAGTCTATGGCGACCAGGTTGTTCGGTGTGTTTAGAAGGACTTATACGCAATCCAAAGAAATCGACGGTTCGTACTAGTCGATAACTTATGTTACCTCAGTCTACCATAGGGTTTGTATTGAGAAAAAAAGGCATTTTAAGCAGTACAAATTGAAAACCGTGTAAGCATTGAACTGTAGTGACGAGTTGCAACGTCTAAATTACTGCTTTTAGGTAGATGAAGCTATGCAAAACGATCATTTTATCAATCAACTCGTATTTACTTTACGTCAAGAAACGTTAAGTACGAAAAAAATTTCATATCTTATCTTTACAAGGACATGTTAATTATCATTTTCTGTTTATTCATCTGAAAGTTATTAAATTTTGTGATTGGGTCATTCACTCTGGAATTATAGTAATTTACACATGACCTTGAACTGATGAAATTGAATTATTAAAATCGAATGATTAAGAATTTTACGACAATTGTGAAGTTTCCGTGTTAATCTCGAAAACAGTTTCTTCATCATTTTGCCCTCTTGGTATAGATGGTGAAATGATTTTTCTATTTAAAGTTTTGCTTAAGACAGCTTGGTGAAAATTACTTGCTAAGATCGTCAATAAAGTAGCCTTATAATGATTGCATAAGACAAATTTATTCGATCTTTCGGCATATGAAATTCAGTGCCTTACACTTGATTAAAACTTGAATTCCCTTATCGTAACTTTATCATAAACATTTCATTCTTAGAAACAATGAATGGTATCCAGGGGCACACGCAGTAATTTTTCAAAGGGTCGAAAATTCACCATTCTCGTATCATACACCAATACACCGCCGAACATGTTATTTCAATTTTAATGATTATCGGGAACATAAAAGAGTACAGAATAAATTATCGAATAAATAATTGGCATTAATTAATAAAATAAATTATTAGTAACAAATATCTAATTAAGTTTTACATACCATATGCATAGAATTATAATCAATCGGAAAAAAAATCAATGGCGGTGGAAGAGGGCGGGTCCGGACCCGTGACACCCCCTTTGTGTGCGTCACTGAATGCATCTATCCCCTTTACGTCTAAATTTTTCTTGCGGTTTGAATTTCATCATACCAACGTTGAATAAATATGATATTAAGAGGACACAGTACGATTCAATTGACACAAATCGTTCAAAAAATGAAATCTAGTTTTTCTTACCTAAATTATTCTTTAATATACTTTTTTATAACCTCACTAAATTTGAAGCTCTAAACTTAATAAACGCATAATTATGATAAGCTTTTGCGTTCGTTTTTATTCACATCCCTAAAAAATCATAACTTACGTATCTCTGAAAGGTAAAATAACTAGTTTGCCTTCATTTAAAATGCTAAGGCTTTTTTCAATTCCTACTATTAGCTCACTGTCCCCCTATATATATATATATACATATATATATATGCTAAGGCTTTTTTCAATTCCTACTATTAGCTCACTCTGTGTCTCTCTATATTATATATATATATATATCTTGCTCAAATTTTCAATCGTTAATAAAATACTTTCTATTCATCCAATAAAATTCAAATAAATGTTTTGAAACTTGTAGTGGATGACACGATGTTAATACAGTTTTTTCAAATATTAATTCATTAATTAAATTAATTACCGGTTTTCAACTCCAAATTTAATTAATCTTCATTGTTGTAACAATGTAGCTGTTAAAACAACGACAAAAGTTGGCGTCTAAAACCAGTTTTTCAGCCAAACTAGCCAAACTGGGTGCTCATTGTTACAACAATGCAGGCAAATCATGCTCTTTTTCCAATTTACCATTAGTTCACTCTCTCCCTATGTATATATCTATATATATCTTGTTCAAATTTTCAACCTTTAATAAAATGCTTTCTATTCATCCATTCAAAGTAGGAATTGACAAAAAAATTTTATATAATACTTGTTTCTATTGTGTCTAATGCTTTGAATTTTTTTTACCTAATGCTAATAGTACAAATAACAAAAATTGG